TTCAGCTTCTCAGTTGCCTGCATTATCCTGGCGTATTGGACCTATGTGTTGTGGGACTGCTGTGCTGCACTGGATGTGGGGCAGTGAAAAATGCATGCAATTTATCAGAGACTTAAAATCTGAGTGGGGTGGGAAACAGACTGTTCCAATGACAGCTGCAGTGGGAAAGTGGTTTATATCCCCTATATAGTGAAACAGCAGTGCCAGAGTCCTTGCTGGTATTCTCTATCCCATTCACTAACCTCTGCGTTCAGTGATACAAAGTTCATGTGCTCCTTCCTGCTGATTGAAATATTATTGTTAGAAATGTGGTAAATGCAAATTGTTCTTCAAAAGCAAACCATTTTCCCCATGTCCAATGGGAGAGATTTCACAGTATTTCTCTGGGGAGAGGAACAAAAAATGCAATATATTAACATTTTTGTGTTGCATATTAGTGTAACAAGAAAATTGGGCAGGAAAAGTTGGTGGATTTTTTTTTTTCCATTTTGAAAACAATGTGTTAACCCTGGCCATGTAAAACACAGACCTTGAGGTTTGGGTGTGTATGGTGAAAACCAAGCTCTTACAGTGCCTACCAAGTAAATTAGGAAGTTCTGCTTACAAGTGGCAGCAGAATTACTGCAAACTTCAACAGAAACTATATGTATGTGGTTAAGTGTCAGAAACCAATTTTTAATAGTTAGAAATTGTTCTCAATTTTTGCTTTCATTACTGAACTTCAATTTCAAAATAATAACTCTGGATAACACAGATTTTCATTAGAGTTTTGAGTGTCCTACAGAGTTAAGAAACAGAAGTGTAAACTTCTGTTTACAGTGTTCACTTCTTTTCAAAGTGAAAAACTTTGAGCAGGACTAGGTATGTTCTTAATACAGAAAATATTTAATTCAGTGGCTATTTTAGAAGTGGTGTGTTAGTGGCCTTTGGCAAATATGCATCATGCTTGGGCTATAACTACATTAGCAGATGGAACCTGAAAAAGCAACAGTGGGTGGAGATAGTACAACGTCAGATTTTCTTTGAATAATTCTCATTTGTTTTTAGTGATAGCAGGACTTGGGATTTGCATGGATCAGACTTGTTCCCTCATTGTCCTGCTAAGACAAGGACCTTATATCACTCACAAGATCTCAGTGAGGGACCTCACAAAGGTTATAGAGACAAAATGGAAATAAGAGAATTTAACCCATAACCCATTAATTCATTAATAGTTTCGCTGTGAAGAACATCACTAAAACTTCAGGCCACCCTGGGCCAGGACTTCAAATCCACTCCCACCAAATGCTGAATCCAGAGGAAATATGTGGGTAGTGACTGGTCCTTCTGATGCCAGTGCTGGAGATGTCAGCTTTCACTGCTGAGCAATTTCCTGGGCCAATGTGATGCTTTGACCAGCTGCACTTCTAAGCTTTTTGTACAAGTTTTAAAGTTTTTTTTTTGGTTAAAAAAATCCCCAAGAATCAAAAAAAAAAAAACAAAATCTATTGTTTTGGAACTGTGTTGTAATATCTGAATGAGATGCATTCACAGTGGCACCTAAAAAAATACGGATGTCCATGTGTCTCACTGCAGGCAGTTCAGTTAAATATAGGTCTGTTTATTCTGTTTTTAAGTAGAACATTAAATATAGTCATGAACCTGCCAAGGACATTTGGATTCATGTTTTACTAGTTCCCCAAACTTAACCCAGCTGGGAAAAGATTTATGGTAAGTGTCAGCATGATTCTCAAACAGGAAAGAAGTTGATAATAATGAAAAATTAGGACGCAAAGATAGCTCATCAACCTTAAAACCCCAAAGCCCAACACCGACCCGCCAAACCCAGAGATTTCCTCACCTTCTTTTTGCACAACTAAATTCTATTCAATGGATAGATACAAGTGTTTGTGCATTTCCATGTGTAAATTGTGACTTGCTAAGTAAGCAAGACTCTGTCCTTAAATTATAGCAGATGGAAAGATTTTATCCCATACTGAGAGTAGTTTACTTTCTCATGGGTAATGGGGAGGAACTGGATGTTGCCGGTCCTCAGGGATGTGTTGATCCAGTCTAAGGATAAATGTATCATTAGTGCTGTACATAGAAAAGCTTTGCAGGTTGTAAAGTAACCAGGCAGTTAGAAAACAACAGTTTCCTGCTGCAGAGGTTTTGAAAGAGAAGTTGTGTCTTTAAAAAAAGGCTACAATTAACTGAAAGTCCAGTTCTTAAAGAGACATCAATGGGCTTTCTGTCAGGCTTGAATGGTGCAGTGCAGCAAAGAGCAGCAATGCCTGTCTCAGCTTGCAGCTGAACCCAGACCTGGTAAATTTTGCTACTTGCTGCTCTCAGAGCACACGTATGTCTCATGGAGGCCAAAGCTTTTTAAGGAACAATTACAAAAATACTCTTCGTCTTAACAAAAACAAAATTAAAATGGTGATTTTGGTTTTCACTTGGATTTTCAAAGATTTACCGCTGCTCCTGTGAAGAGGAACCTGCATAAACTAGCAGTTTGCGGTGGAGCCAAATGCCTACAAACCCCCTGAACTTTTTAATCTCATACAAATACTCACATATTGAGCAACAAAACCATGAAAACAAATGGCAAACGTAATATCTTGTAAATGCATGGCATAAAACTTAACAATGTTATGCTGGCAATGCTTGGAAGTCTTCCATTGCACAGTGTGGCAGAGAAGACGGGAGTGCAGGATTTCAGAAGGAGCCCTTTGACTTGGAAGTGAAGGTTTTTGGCAGCTTGCAGAGGACCCAGGGCTGTCGAGGCAGTCTGACTCACTGTAGCAAGTCTGCCCTGACAGAGGGAGATGCATCTGGAAGGAGAGGGATGCATTGTGCTGCTGATGGGTAGGATTGCTGGGGAACCACTGGGTCAAAGCAGCAAAAACCTCTCCTTTCCTGGAGAGCTGGCATCAAGCTCTGGGTTTCCACCTTTCATTCTGCAGACAGCATATGGATCATATTTAAAGATGCCTTTTCCTTGTCCCACTCAGTAACTCACCATTGTCTGAAAAATCAAAGGGAAGTTAAATAAACCAAATGTGATTGCATTGCTCAGTTTGGCAATCCACTGTCTTCAGCCTGACTTCGGGCTGATAACTTCTTGTTTAGTCTCAGAGCCTTCCTCTTTCTTTCTGCACATCTTAGCATTTCTTTAAAAAACCTTGTAAAAATACTATTTCTTAAAATACCACTTTCTTGAGGGGAGTGACAAACAAAGTTGCCTTATATCACTTGATTGGGCAGACTGAATTTTGAAAAATAATTTAATTTCAAGTGATTCATGCTACACTTAATCTTAGACAACAAGTCTGGAGTCTGGAAGCCTACTTATAACTGAAAATTACAAAATTGAGCATGGAGAATATATTTCCACCAAATACAAAGAGTTTTAGGAAAATGTGGTCCAGTTGGGTTTTTTTACTGTAGATTGTGATGAATATTGAGTAGCAAAAAATGGAATATTTGTGCAATTATGGGAAAATTGCTCAATGGACACACTCTCCTCTGCATTTTCTATGAAACAAGGTGGTACTAAGGTCCACAAAGAAAGGCCCTACTCCTCCCCCTGACAGTCTGAGACAACTTTATTTTGTTAGTTCAAAAGTGAGAGTGTTTCTCCAGATTTGGTACATTACCAGTTCCATCAGAGTACAGAAATAGGTTTCCACTGTCATGGACTTGTTTTGTAAGACTGATCCTTGATTTTTCCTTGTAAGGTGATCTCAATTTCATTATTGGCAACAGTCCTTTTTCCATTCCCCTAACTCTAGTCCACACTGCCAACAAATTCTCCTCTCTTTTGCAGCAGATGAGACAGGGATGCCCAGGTAAAGGACTCAGTTGTCTGATGGACATTTTGCATCCCTGGTGCATTGTTACTGCACGAGTAACAAGGATATTTGGAGGATGTGCAGCGCACATGGGAAATGTGTCCTCTGGGATGCATTAAGTCTGGGTACAACTGCAGTTTTCCCTGGGGAAATCAGCTGTGGTGGGAGAGGCCCCAAAGCTTGGGGAAGGTTGTGGTAAGGAGCATGGGCAAGTGGTTGTTTTGTCCCCAGAGCCACTGTCTGTGATAGTGTAGTCATGGCTGGTGTTTACAACATGTGGCAAGCAGGGCATGGGTGAGAGCAGCTTGATCGTGCTGTATTTGGACCAAGCACAGGGATATCCAAACCCATATTTCTAGTTCCCCATTGTTCCAGAGGCTGCTGATGTCCTCTGGTCAGAGCCCTTGGGGATGTGCTGTGTGAAGGGCAACACTGAGCTCTGGCATTTGGCTGAGGCCAAGCCCATGGAAATCAGGAGATACACCCACTGGCACATCTCTAATCCTAAAGGATGAATTAGAGATCCTTGCTCTGATTATTGCATGCTATAAACACAGAGTGAACAGGTGACACTAAACACATGTTCAGAAATAACTCTTTTTCTCTTTTTTTTTTTAACAGTGGGACTTTATTGCATATGAAAGCACAGTTAAAACATTTGTTGCAATCAATAACCACAGAATCACTTCCTTGTGGATATATAGCATCAAAAATACACCTCTTTACTATAAAAAATATTCTCCTCTCCTAAAAGTTAGTCAGCATTCATTAAAGAGATTTCTCTTCCCTTATAAAAAATGAGTTTTGGTCTATGTACATCAGCATCACATGCACATACACTGACACATGCACAAGTGCCAATGGTGGAACTGTTCAAAAAGTTCCCTACCCTTAAATTCTTCTCCTCTTTCTTTTCTAGGCATAGAGCACTCCTTTTGTTTCTACTTTCCCTGTTCCTTGCTCTTGATTCCATTCCATGTCCAACACTGACATACTGTATTTCGTTTTTAAAATCTCTGCTGTTTTAGAATATTTAACCCTTAACTAGAGGCATGTCAGTAATTCAGTGCAGCCTTTAAGGCTCTTCATATGGGTAAATGCAACCCCTCAGTGGTTGTCATCCCTGCAGAAGACACCTATTGATACATTTCTCCTTCTGAGACCCTTTTAGACGAAGACAGAGGCATCCTGGTCGCTGGTGTTCTGGGTTATGTTGCTGTTCACCACACTTTCCGCATAACTAACTGAATGAGAGACCTGGTAGTGACTGCAGGGCCCACAGAAACACAGGAACGGACAGTACTTCATGCAGACATTATAAAGGTATTTCCTGAATTTTTCCCCAGCAAAGGCATAGATAAGAGGATTGAGACAACAGTGACTGAACGCAATGGTTTCGGTCAGGTGCATTGCATAGTCCAACGACTTAATTTGGTTGCAATTTGTGAATAACTCATAGTGATTTAAAGTATCCAGAAAAATTAGTACATTGTAGGGGGACCAAAACAGAAAAAAAACCACCACCACAATCAATATCAGTTTTATGGCTCGTGCTTTTTTCTGATTTTTGCAGGATAGGAGGGTTTTGATGATCCCACAGTAGCAATAGAATATGATACAGACTGGGATGAAAAAGCCGATGGTGTTCAGCTCCATATTGCAGAACACTGGCCAGATGTTCTCCAGCTTCTCTGGGAAGACAGCAATGCAGTCATTATCTATGAGCTGGGAGAACACAAAGTGTGGCACTGACACTAAAACCGCTATTGCCCACACTCCGCAGGTTACAAGAAAGCCATGTCTTACTGTTCTGGATTTCAGAGAATAAGTTGCCCTGACAATGGCCAAGTACCTGTCAACGCTGATAACAGTGATAAAGAACATTCCCCCAAAGAAACCAATGTAATACAGTGAGGAAACAGCTGTACAAGCAATAGTCCCAAGGGTCCATCCACGGACCGTGTTGGATGCCCAGAACGGGAGGGAGATCACAAAGAGAAGGTCAGAGATAGCCAAGTTCAGGAGATAGATGTCAGTGATGCTTTTTTTATTGCCTTTCACAATGGCAAAAACCACCATTAGATTCCCTGTGAGGCCAAGACCAAACACCACAATGTAAAATAGTGGCAGAAATATTTTCCCAAATTCTTGGATGTCGGTTTTGTTGCAGGAGAAAGCATGTTCATCGTAAGTGTATTCAGCTGTGGTTTCTGCGTATGCTTCTGTCATGCTGAATTTGCTGGCTAGAGGCAAAATGGAAAGAGTAAAGAAAATAACATTAGAATGATCTTATATGTGCTGTGGTAAACTACTGAAGGACTGCACCAAGCATGCTTTGGGATTTTGTCTAATACTATTTATTTTAGTGAGGGTTGTATTACTGTGGAGCTGATGGTAATTATGTTATGACAAAAGCCCAGACTCTGCTATTACATGTACTTCATGAAAAGTTAACTCTTTAGGATAAGAAAAAATAATTAATGAGAATTTCAAGCCCCTACTTATTGAAGTGCAGCAGGAGCAGCAGCAAGCTGAGATCTAGCTGAGATCTGGGCATGTGGTGCAGTTCTTGGCAGTTCTTGGCAGAGATCTGGTCTGTGGGCAGTTCTTGGCAGGAAACGACAGTTCACAAGTAGATGTTGAGCAGATTCGGTGCCTGTCAACACCCCAAGAGCCCCATCTCCCCCTCTCACCAACCCTGGGCTGAAAGGGTACCAAGCACCCAGTTTGGCCAGGCCTGAGATGATGCTTGCTGATAAGAGAGGAGCAAGTCTGCAGTGAGACATTGCTGGCAGCAAGCCCATCTTTTATGAGGCTTTTCTAAAAATCATCCTATGATCAAAAAATTAGAAAATATATTGACCCTTTTCCTTAAAAGCATCTCATGACTGCTCCTGCTCTGGTTGTAAGGCTGGACCCAGGAATTCACCTTGGCTGAATCCAAAGAGACTATGAAGTGCAGGTGTGTGACTTCTGGGCTCATTGGTCTGCACACCCAAAAACCCAGAGCACCTGTCATTTCATGTGCTCTCCTTTGGGATGTGGTGTTCAAGTCTCTGCAAAGATTTCTGTTTGCAAGGAATTAAAAATCCTATAGGAGTGCAGATGTTGCTGTATTTGGTCTGCTCCCTGGCTAGGTAAAGAGCTTGGAAGTATCCATTACTTGGTCTCGCTATAGGAGATGAAAGGGAGTGATATGTTGTGCAGAAGCCCAGGGAGGTGATAGATAACATGGCCAAACCACCCTGTTAAAGCTGAGACCAAAAGAAAGGGTCAGTGATAACCAAACTGCGACTAATAACTACCCCTTGGCCGCATCTTCTTACGGGAATCCCCTGCTGCCTGTACAGAAGGCACTCAGTTCAGTGACCACAGGCTGTCTATGTTTACATCTCCTGTTAGTGGGAGATATAATCAGTACAGCCAACAAAGAGCAGTGCATCCTCATCCAACGCAGGTCTGGCCAAATCTGCTTTAAGACAAGACAGACTGCTTCCCAGACTGCTGGCCACACTGGTGAAACTTCTTTTCCAAAGTATAAGGCGAGCATGGACACACTGCTCAGTAGTAGGGGCTGATGATGCATAGCTACTCCGACTCCTGGCACCTATAGCTAAGTGATTGGAATGCACATTTCACCAACAGCAATAGTTTTTATACCTTCTGTTTCAAATAAGCCATGCAAGATTAAACATGAAATAAAGATGTCCTCAGGTGTAAGAGAGTTTTCTATGACGTGGTGGTAAGTACAACAATCTTCCCCATAAGCAGCTACTGTGACTATACTGACATTTTCCCCTAATGCCTCATTGCCAGAGCATCGTTTTTGGTGTTGGCTGTGAAGCTCTGGCCTCTTATTTTGTAGCAATATCTTAAAGAGTGTATTTTTGTGCTAGTTGGAAATGCAGGCTCTCAATTTTAAAATATTTTTTAACCTGAATGTTCAAACATTAATGATTAGTGCCTGCAGACTCTAGAAAACATCTTTGTGGTTTCCTCAGGAAAAGTGGGCTAGAAAAGTCTGTCTCAGCACTGGTAGCTCTGGGGCATGGGCACAGCATGGGGAAAGCTGTTTGCAGCAGGCAGGCACACCCATGAGCAGAGCGGCTCTTGCAGTATCTATCCACTTGAACTGGGAGCTGAGTCTGCCTTCAGAGTCTGTCCAGCCCCTGCCTGTCAGCCCAGCTCAATTCTCCATCCTCTGATACGAGCAGAGTTAAAGGGATGCAAAGCTGGAAAAGGTTAGGTGCTGGGGCAGAAGCTGATAGCAATTGCAAACAAGATACTTATTTTCTACTGGTGAAATAAATAAAGAGTTGTCATCTTTTTACCTGCCCTGTTGAGTGATACAGATATGAGCAGGAGACATCACATATAATCTCAATAACCCATCATTTTCTGCCATCCCATCCTGATTTCTTTCTTACTCTCTGAGAGTAAATGTACGCAACCAAAGCAGCAGGGTACACCAAGTCTCCTGTGCCGAGTGTCACTCTGACAGCCCCCCCAGCTCCTTTGCCACTGAGCTGTTACTGCACCCATCTGTGCACCCAGAGCCTATGCGTTTCTCTGCGGGCTTATGTGCTCCACAGCTGGTTCTTCACTCCTGGAGCAGTAGCTGAGGGCTGCAGAAGTGACTGACTGGGGCAGGGGCACATGGCCTATGAGAAGACACTGGATTTGGTAAGCCTCAACAGGAGATGTCTCAAGAGGAGTTTAGGGAGAAGGTGTAAAGGTGAAACAGACAACTTTCCTCAGGGGAATAAATAGCAATACCCATGGGAAATCGTTACTTAATGTATTGAAAAGAAATTTTTGCCATGATGGTGGTCAAACAGCAGGACAGGGCTCCACATAGGTCACGGGATCTAATCTCTGGAAGTATTTGGGACTCAGCTGGCCCTGCTCTGTGCATGGGTTTGGACAAGAGACCTCCAGAAGTCCTGTCCTATCCTTGTGACTCTGTGGCAATGCCAGGCAGAGATCACGCTGTTTCTGCAAACTGCTCCAGCTTCTTCTCTGCCAAGTCAGCTCCTGTTTCAGACATGTCATTCCTGGTGTGACAACCAGAAGTCTCATCAGATGAAGAGGAAAAAACTGATTGAAGCTTGCTCGTATCCCCTTAACACCTTTGCTAATTATGCTGCCATCCAGAGAGGGCTGTTTGGTGGTGCTTGCCTTGACTGTCTGGGCTGTGTGAAATCCCTGCTCTGGAGAGAGGGAATGCACATTGCTTTACTCTCCTCTCTAAGAACCTCGAGTTATGCTGGTTTTTAACATGCTTGCTCCCTTAATTCACATTGAGAAAAACAACTTGTCTGTCTGGAGAGTTTCCATATGTGTTCACAGAAGTCACTGTGCTCTGTTGGACACAGGATATCACACACATACAAGGAAATGCAGCTCCCACCAGGGGTTAGCCCTCAGGTCTGGCAGAATTCTGCAAAGACTTCTGAATGGGCCTTGCCAGGAGAGAAACCTGAGCTTGGGAACGGCCACCTCCTTCACTGGAGAACATTTACACAGACATGCACGAGAAACTCCCGGCCTTAGTGAAGTAAACAGAAACATTGCTTGTGCCGGGATATTTCCTGAAATACCTTTTCAGTCAAGTAATCTCCTCTAGCTTACTGATGAGGATCATTTATTTCTACAGTAGCAAATTATTTCCTTTACCCTTGGATGGGTGCTTGTGGGGCCTGTGGTACCTACAACAACAGGAAGGGTAAGATTGTGTATTGCATGTCCAGGGGCAAGCAAGGACTGCACTTACCAGAATGACATTGGTGTTTGAATCTGCTGGCACTCTGTGACTCCTGTGATTCACTCTCTATCTCCTGGATTTCATTTATCAGCAGTCATTAATATCCTTCCAGCACCACTCATACTGCACAGGCAATGCCACCAGTACTATTTGAATATTTAGCTCTTCTGATACCACTTTGCTCAGCTTCAGTTGATGATTCTCAGTAGATGGGCTGCACATTTCAAAGAGCTCCCAAAATCCAGCCCATGCCAGATAGGGATAATGTGTTGAAATGGTATTGCACCTTAAAGAGAGAAACTTAGATCTGACCATCCTCCATCTTCCATCCTTTCCTGTCATATATTCTCTGTTAGCCTCTCAAAGTCCACTGCAGCACACACTACAGGTTTCTCACCATCAGCTTCAACAAAATTTTCTCTGTTATGCTTACAATAAATGTTCACCTAAGGGACAGAGTGAACTGAAGAGTATACAGGACACAGGAGGACTGCAAGGCTTTTAGGTTTCTCCACCAGATATTTTCCCTTGCTGACTACAGGAAATAGTAGATTCACTTCTGCTTCTCATGGAACTGCTCAACCACTTTTCTCTCTCTCCGGATTTCCCCATCGATTTTACACCCTACTCTTCACAAACACTTCTGCTCCTAATCATGTTTACAGCTACCTCAAAACCGTAGTCTGCAAGACCAGGACCCCTGTTTCTCAACCCAACCACCATGTGCAGCCCATGAAATACAGAGGGAAGTGAAATTGTGAGAGGTCTGCAAACTCCTCTACGGAACAAAAGTTGCATTTCAATCTTCAAACTACACTGGCATCAGGCTAGGTGACATATGAGCAAATCCTGTTTATATATCTAGATATCAGATAGATTCTTCCCATGTGTCATCCCTGACACTTCAGCCAAGTGCCATGTTACAGGCTGTACTGCCAAAAAGAGAGAGATCTACAAGCAGTTTGCCTCCCCGTGATGCCGCTCCTACCACCAAATTAAAAGAAGTGAAAACAATGACCAAATCCAGACCTCTGCTAGAGGGTCACGCTTCAGATTTGCACAATATGCTAATAAAAGTATTTCAGCCTCAGAAAGATTTTCACACCTTAGTCAGCATTTCTAAGTGATGCTTACACACTTTTCTCATGCTAGAAAAACATGTTTCCAATGCACACTGAATAGCCTGATGAATCAGCAGGCCCTGAGAAGCTGTAGGCTTTGTGAGAACCCCCGTGAAATCCTACAGGTGTGTGTATACCCCTTTTTCACCCTTAGATCTGAGCTGCCATCACCCTACCCAAAGATAAATGCTTTTGCTTTTTTGCATTTGCAACTACACCCACCTGCTTCTTACCAGCTGATGATTCTCAGCAGGAGCACAGGGATGACCTCAGGCACCTCCAAATTTAATGTTGAAGCTATGGTGGCACTTCTAACTCAAAAAAGAAAGAGAACTAGGAGGAGG